TTTTGTTTAATTAAATTAATATTTAATGTTAAATTTTGATTTTGATAATTATCTATATATATCTAATTAAAACGTAGCTTTAAGTTTCAAATGATCTATAAATCCTAAATGTTTATTTTATTAAGATAAGTTTAAATTATAATGAAAGTAATGATTTACATCATGCTTTAACTAACTTTTTCTATATTTTTATCTCGAATTTTGTAGAACTTTTTTTTTAAACATTATGATTTTGTTTTCTCATAACTATGAACACTTAACGCTCTTGTGAGACATATGATGCTTACCGTTTACAAAATACTTAGAAATGAAATTTTATATATATATATATAAAATATTAGAAAATATATAAAATTCATCGCAAAGATAATATCTCGTATCGAAATACAAAGCACCGCCATGCGTCGTCGTGAGAACTTAATTTCAATGTTTAAGACAAACGTACTTTGAAAACGTTGTTGCCACACACAATTATTACATAAGAAATATTTTTTTTTAATGTCTTCTTGCGTAGGCACTGGAAAAGATAAATAGTAAGCTATCAAAAGTCGATTATATAAAATTATTACAAATATGCGATTAAAAAGTTACAAAAAAATTGAGATCAGTAAGTTTGTCTTTTACATTAATACAATACTTTAACCAATTCCTTGGTTTTATTTCAGAATAAGTAATCGGTAAGTAACGAAAATCACATAAAAAGCAGAAAAACATCATTGTTATGTTATCCGCAGCGACTTGAAAGTATTTAGGTTGATAACATGCGATATCATGATTTAAGCAATTGCGATGACGTTGCTTAAATTCTGCTCAATCATTCTATTTTATCTGATGTAAAAGCATCATATTTCCCGATTCGTCAAATGTAAAATTCTATTCATTCCAGAAGTTCTTGAATGATAATTGCATTTTGAAGTGTGATACAACCTTAATTATTAAAATCTTCCATCGCAAATAAAGGTAGGAATTATTATTGCTTGTTTCTCTTTATTTTTTTCTTCGAAATATGTAATATTTTTATACATTGGGAAAAAACCAATCGATAATTAGAATATTAAAAGCCTTGAGAGAAAGATAAAAAGAAAAATAACTTCTCTGAATTACGTTCACTGTAATAAGCAACAATTAACAATAAGGTACATATATGAAATATCCAGATAGCGACTGGTATATTCCATATATTTTCCGTGCAAGCTTTTTAGCAATAGAAATGTATCTTAAAAGGTAAAAAAATTAATTCAGCATTCAAAAGATATCAGCCATTCTTAAATTACAATATTAAAAAAGCTCTAATTTGCGCGAAATTGCTACAAATTATAAAAATGCACGCATGCGAATAGTAGCATTAATTAAATTAATGACATACGTTATGTGCGATAGTAAATTTGTAGAATTACTGATAATTGCAAGATAAAATATTAAACATTTATTAATATGTGTATATCATAACTAGACATCTTTAACGACACAATGTATTGACGATTTTGTTCGGTAATGAAAATTTATGATTCGGGCGACATAGTGACTATGCGTTGATGTCTCTTGATAGAAAGCGACGAGGTCAACGAGCTAGAAGTAACAGTCCGACCTTTCTTTCCAGTCTAATTCCGAATATAGAATCGAGATTCTTCGATTCGCAATTGTACAGATTCTTAGATGCGTAGATTTACAGTTGCGCGAATTGATGGATTCATCATAGAAAAGTTCTACACCGATATAATTAATAGTATCGCATCCGTACTTCAAAAGTAACACAACAAAAAAAGAATATTTGTTGTATTATCATAAATGAGTTAAATAAATATTACTCTATCAATAATCAAAACTGAATTAGTTTTATAAAAAAATCGTTAAAATGACAACTCAAAAAGATGATTTTACAAAAAAAGTTATCAAAATTTCACGACTCAAAAGGGCGATGTTTTTAGTTTTGAAAAAAATGACAAATAATATTTGATCACGCGAAGAATACACTCTTTTTACTATACTATAATATTACTATATAATATTACTTGATTAATAATTTTCTATCAAATTGAAACGTAGTTCTTTTCTGTTTCTATGAAATTTAATTTTTTGAGTTGTGTCATTTTTAAAATAAGAATTATTAAATGTTAATTAAAATTCTAGAATTTTGAAAAGAAGAAGAAAAATAGAAAGGAGCATAACAGTACATGGTTAAATAACATGACATAAATTACTAATTTTATTTTTTATTACTTTTACAATACATAAAATTAGATGTCTTAGTTTTCTATGCTTGCCCTCCTTTCTAAAATATCCTCGAACGCGTGTTTGCAAGTTTTTAAAATATATTCGAAGTTTTTCTTATCTAGATAAAAAATGCAAATTTATTTCGCATCGCTTATTACAATACTTATTTTCATTTCATTTACATATATATTATACATTTTAATCTTTTTACTTAAAAATAAATGAAAGCAAAAAGCAATATTATAATTTTTTTGGTACATGGAAGATTCTTGATAAAATTCTATAGAATTCCGTATATCATGTTCATCAAATGCAAATTTTCATGTGCAATGTGATCTGATGGGATTATAAGATCATGAGATATCTTGCGGATTCTGCGAAAGCTGAGGCAATCGTACGAAGAAGAAACGTATTCTCATGTAATATAACACGACGAGCGACGACAATGACGTCACATTAATCCCCCATCCCTGTCGGAGGCGTGTTCATTTTATCACGAAGCCAAAATTCTGCAAGAATATCGGGAGTTAAGCACACGAGACTTCGCTTTTCTGAGAAGTTCTCAACCTAACTCTAACCGATCATTATAGCTTCAAAGAAACGATAATAATAAGTATAATAACGACGAGGTCGTCTATACTGGCGCCGTTTCGCCTTTCTATGACGCGATTGGTCGAGCCTCCAGACGAGCCCCCACGTGACGACACGTGACGCGAGCGAAACGGAATAGCGAATACAGAGCGAATAATATGGTGATGACCTTCGGATAAGACTTCGCAAATAGCGTTACGTATGGTGTAACCCGTACAAGCGTGCGTAGTTAGCATTGCGCGATATATCGATAATTTTTGCGCTGATGAGTCAAATTTGTTATGCTTACTCATTCAGAAGTACGTAAAAGGACACTTAGAGCAAACAATTGCCTATAATAATGAATTTTTAAAAATGGCTAGCATCTCGATTTTAATTCTACTAAACTTGTTTAAGCTTGTTAAGTTAATTTATAAATAAGTTAATTTATAAATAACTAAATATAAATTATTTAATTTAAGAAATACAAGAAATACGTATATGTAAGGAAACATTATTTATTTGAATCGATTTTAATTTTCAATAAGTGTTCAGAAATAAATTTAAGCTTGTGGTTAAGAAACTTAATTTAATTTTATATATGATTTATATATGATTTATTTTCTTAAAATATTAATTTAGACTACATCAAAATTATAATAAAATCAAAATTATAATAAAATCAAAATTATAAATTAAAATTATTTCAAAATATCTGATATTTTAACGAGTTTATATTTAAAGTTATACAAATAGAAATACGTATTAATTCTTTATTCTCGAGGTACATACAATA